AAATGCAGCCTCCGTGCTGTACCGCGGCGTGTAAAATTATTGCCCGACATTACTCGTTGCGTACAATAGCGGCGCGAATAAAAACGATGGTGGACGTTTCGCAGAACTTCTCGCTGCGAACGCGAGAAAGCCCGACGATGCTTCAATCGACGCGTTTTTATATCCCGCAAATGTAAATACATCGCAAGATTGCTTGCATCACAAAGAGCTCGCAGCCGCATCGTCGACTCGGACCGCGAGCGATTCTTTTTGATATTAATCGCCGACGGCGCGCGATATTCACGTTCGTCTGTAAATACATTACCGCCGCCGCAAACGCGCGCAGGAAGCACACACTCATTACGCGACAGGGCAAACAAACGATTAATGCGCTTCGATGGACACGTAACGGTACAAACACGCGGTGCGTGAAATCACCCCCGCTCGCGCGAGATCTCGAATCCAGAGATCGTCGTCAAAGCCGGTTGCTTCAGGGAGAAGGAAAGCGTACAGGGGAGTTCGATAGCTCAGGATCCTGCCAGTAATCCGTAATAATTAGACCTACATCGGCACGACAGGGCGGGACGAGACGTGGCAGCGCGTCACGAAGCGTTGTACCGAAACGCCGCTATGTACGGCACACCTGTAGCACTATAACCTTTGGCCCCACAGCCACGTTCGTCCTTCGCGCTCTCGAGCTCGGCAGCGCCGTCACGTAGCGATGGAAAAACGTGCCCGCTGAAACAGCGGTCGTATCCGAGGGAGTCAGCTTTACGGAGCTGGGTCAGCCCTGAGTTTCTTCTTCGCTACGTGCGATCCGCCAGCCCGGAGCGGCAGTCGCGCGCGAGTCCGCTCGTTTCGGTCGCGCGCATGTAAAAGCTCATACCCGCGTGATGCATGCTTTTACGATCGACCCTGTTAGGGGCATTACTATGAACCAGATTCCCGACGTCGGTCCGATACTGCCGACCGGCACCGGCCTGACATTATGACCGGTTGGAGATTATTGGCTACCAGCCGGGTCATGACCCGAAGCCAATATTAATAGAGGCGAATTGCTCATCTATTATTCGCAGCACGTCAGCTAAGGCAGCACGGCCCAATTAGTGACAGTGTCAATTTGCGACAATCGCGTCGGTTTTTCTTAGCAAATCGGACAATACGGTTCTGTATTTATTATAGATGTGTGCTTTTACTTTGGATTTTACATATTTTATATATTACCGGTTATGAGTTTCGGGTAAAATCGAAAGCCTTGATTAATGCTGGAATATCGTAATTAGAAGCGGGCTGCTGATGGTGACGTTCCGAACAGTTATTCGCCGACACTTTAGAAGTTGACAGTTAATATCAAATTTTTAGATATCTGCAGTTATTCTTTAACTTCTTCGAAACTAAACTGCCATTAAATATGACATATATGAGAATATAAATAAATTAGAAGCTTTTCACAAATTAAAAGAAATATTACGCGGTTAAAAGCCGAAAAGTCCAAATTCCACAAGAAGATCAATTTGTATATTTAGTTTAACATGTATACCATTAACTTATTAATTTATTTTCACAATGAGGCTCGATCACTAATTGGGGCGTGCAGCTTGATAATACATTTCTTATATGATGCTTATGTGCTGCGCGCTGTTGGAATGCTTATTGCGTAATGTCAAATCCAAGTCTTAAAATCACGCGCACGCAAATCGCACAGAAGTCTTTACACGCAATTCTTTGAGCGCACAGAACTTTTTGTACACTCGACATGGTAAAAATGTGCAGCACACGCTTTCCGCTTCCTTGTCCAAATCTATTCTGACACGTCCATCTGCATCGCATATATCACATGTCGCAATCGTGCAGGTGAACACGCATAATAACAAAAGCATACGCGGCGAATGTAATCGTGCGCGAAGCCGTGAAGAATGGCATTCGTTTCACACTCGTACATTGATTTCTCCTCGAGACACGGACGCTCGAAAGTTTGGAGATCTTTAAAGGCAGCCTGCGGCTTTCCGCTGCCGCTGACGAGCGCGAACGCTCGTGGTTTTCGCGCTCTCCTTCGGAGGCTGCGCGCTCGACTGAAATAAAGGAGCAGCATGCAACATTGTCGACGGGTTTCAGTTCCCGACTGAGAAGTCGCAAGGACGCGAGACAAATTGCATTTGAAAGCTGATGCTACTGCGCTTCCGATGAGAAAGCGATCGTTACATCGTTCGTTTCTCGTCGGACAATTTATTTGTCTCTTGAGAGACTGAACGTAAATCTCCACAAAAGCGTGATTTTAATTCTGATCTGAGAGAATAAAATTAAAAAATGAGGCAAATGGAATCGCAAAGAATATAACATTTTTTATTTTAATGGGAGCGGTCTCTTCCCCTTTCTCTTTCTCTGGCGACTCTCGAGCGAAATGCGCGTCAAAAGCTGAAGCGCAACCGACATGATAACATAACGATAACGAGATTGTTTCTGATCGATTTTGGAGGTAGAACACATACTCGCCATTTGATTCGTCGAAATTTACGAGAATTTCGGAGAAATATCTCGGTGGTTTTTTTGCCTGTCCGGATTGATAAAAGTCTATGAAAAGAACATTTTACTTTTTGGTAAAATATATATCTTGGTTAAAGGTAGTCTTTCATCAACCTTTTGTTAAAGATATGATATTTAAGTTCCTACAATGAAAAGTTAGAGGAGAATTATCTCATCTCCATTATTCTATTTTCATCAGTTATCTTTTATTGAAAAAGTCTGGCGCGTTAAATGTATATCATAGAATACCACTTAATTGCATACCATCAGTTGCGCGTGTATGTGTGTGCACAAGAAAAAAAGAATGTCGGAATAAGCGACGTTGATAATGATGGCCAGCATCGCGGACAGCATACACAAAATGCGCGTTCTGTCTCTGCTTCGCATAAAAATCTTGAATAATTCGATAATTCCAAAGCCTGTTAATGCAAAATGGCTGGCGCGCTCGTGGCTCGGCAGCGCAAGTTATCTCGCGGATTTCAATCGCCGCGAAAAAGTTGCGGAAAACCGCGGAAGCGATTGGTCTTAGCAACTTTATTTAATTTCGCGCTTTAAAAGCCAAGCCGCGCGCGAGAATGCAAGATAAGTTGGCTCCGCCGTCACGGATTACGCGGAGAAAAGTCTTTTCACGGATATCAAGGAAGGATGCGATAAAGTTCCTTCGACGTGACGATGGAGACGGGGGGAACCGTCGCGTCGCTCGCGTCAAGTCCGCATAATTTTCGGCGATACTGTAACTCGCTAGCAGTAATCAAGAAAATTCGTGATACGATTATAAATCTATCGCGGTGAACATGAATGATTTTCGACGGGACGTGGTGACGTCTATTCCTTGGGGATGCATAGCTGCGGCGAGATGACGCGGCTATATATTCTCTAGCGGTTTCGGATCCATCAGAGAATTTCATTCTGAGGTCACTAACACGCGCCGTCTGGTCAGGTGAGGGTATCGGTGCTGGCGGACAGCATATCAAGAAGACCGTGTAATATGACGTGGGTGTGACGAGCTATCGACGCGCTGCGATCACGATATCGATGTACCTTGATATTTCGGGCGAAAACGACGTTAGACGAGTGCGCGCCGACTAACAATCTGGGGCTTGGATCCTTCTCGCTCATGCGACTTTCTCACAAATTGCCCGCGCATCTGCGTTCCTCTTGAAATATATCAAATAGCGACCACGGGAAAAGGTAATTTTACAACGCGTGTCGCTTTTATATTTTGCATGCGTATATATCTAGAGAGAGTATATATCTAGAGATAGATAGATAGAGAGAGAGAGAGAGAGAGAGAGAGAGAGAGAGAGAGAGAGAGGCGTGAAAATAATTAGATTAAACTTGAACATTTCTTATTTTTTTATTTTCACCGACAGTAGAGCTTGGGATTTTTGCACACACAGCTTCTTTCCAGCTTTAGCATCTTCCGTACTTTTCCTTTCTCATTTTTGCTCAAATGTCACTCTAGAAAAAAATGGAGAAACAAATGTGGAACCGCATGTTTCAGTCTCGTATAAATTTTCTCCCTCCGCAGAAAAGAAAGGCGTTTCACCCGTACGGAAAAAAGAGCATTGGGAGGATGATGTTTACTGCGTAATATGTTGAATTGTGCAAATTGCGCGCTACATAAAAACAAATTTTAAATCGCTTTATTTTCTATCGCGATCCATTTTTGTTTTTTTGTTATATTTTTGTTATTTGTTTTTTTTTTTTCGACGTGTCTCATGTGCTTGAATGTTTAATCGTAGTCGGAAAAGGCAGCTACATTACACGGTAACTCACAAGCTACGCGTTACACGAGTATATATGTGCGCGTGAATGTAGTAGTAGATCTTCCGGGTTTCCGCCAGTCGGGAAAATCACACAGGCGACGTGAAGTAATGCGATTTTGGCGAACATCGGGGAGGTACGATGCAGTGGGGATGTAGGTTTTCGCAATTTCGGATCCCCGCGGGAGCCCAAGAATTTATAAGAGACTGTGAGACAGATAAATCGGATTGGAACAAGAACGTGAAAACGTATTGCCTAGTTTTCAACAAATACGTCTCGTCCGTCACGTGAATGGAGCAGCTGTGCTCCGTGAAAATATCTATTTAATGTCGGAAGAAAGGTAACGAGGTTAATGGCGATAGTAATGACGTGTTTTATTTGCGATATTTTCGAAATAAAATTTCATTTGCGCACATAGAACGATCATATACATGCAAGAGATGAATAATGTATAAAATATCAATTGAACGTGAATTAAAGGATGTTAATGATATGAATTTATATTGCGCCATACGTAAATGTCTCTCGCATGGTATAATATTCAGTGTGCTTGTATATTATGTGAAATTTCATTATTATAACATGTCTTTGAAAAAAACGTTTCCATTGTTGCCTGTTTTCCGCAATGGCGGAACTGTCTCGGTCTCGATGGGAGTCGTTTATTTCGAGCACGAGCGGTTATAATCGCGGAAAATTCATGTATTTCAATGATTTTTGAATGTCAAAAGAGAATTAAATTAAATTAAATAGTATAAAGTTATGTATAATGTTAATATTACGATACGGAGAACGTTAAATTTTATGAACATATAATGTAACGCCTGCTTCCGAGCACCGTCTGAGAGTCACGTGACTCCGCGACGGAAAACAATATATATGTTGACGAAGCTGTCGAGTGGCCATAACAGTCTTTAACGTGGCCATAAACGGATGGGGAAATGTCGTGTCGCCGGAAGGTCTCCCGTGATTTCGCGACCAAAAACAATACTCACGTATATACGAAACGGACGGTCATAATAGTCCTTGACGCACTCGTAAGACTTGGACAGAATACGTCGCGCGTGATTCTCGAATCTTCCGTGTCGATCGAAACGTATGTGAAACGCGTCAAGTTGATTCATTCGTGCGATCATCGTGTTAAGATCATCTTGTGCACTAATTATCCATCTGTAGAACTCTGACAGTGATTATTATTTTCTATCTTTATTGGCTTAAAAGAGAAATCCAATATTGAGCTTTCTCTTTTTTTGTCTTAATATGTTCACATTTTGTCATATCGCTCAACCAGCAAATTCTTTTTGTTTCAGATTCAGCGGAAACGATGGCCACGCGATGGACTTCTGGGAGGTGCCGGATTTTCGTCGGTGCATGCAGAACCGGAGGATCCGGTTCGGGCCATGCAGGATCGGCTTGAAGGTAAATACAATATAGATTCCTATATTCTTATTAATACTTGGCGGTTAAAATTTTTGTTAGTTTAAAATAGAAATATACAATATTGAATAACCTTCCCTTTTTTCGTCTTGATATGTTTACATTTTTTTCATATCGTTCAACCAGCAAATTCTTTTTTGTTTCAGATTCAACGGAAACGATGGTCACGCGATGAATTCCTGGAAGGTGCGGGATTTTTTGTGCATGCAGAACCGGAGGATCCGGTTCGGGCCGTGCAGGGTCGGCTCGAAGGTAAACACAGTATAGATTCTTACATTCTAATCAATACTTGGCGGTTAAAAGTTGCGACATAATTGTAATCAAAACTCTTTAATGTAATCAACAATGTTGTATCTTTTTGTTAAAGAATCGAAAGCAGAACGTGGCTGGCCCTGTCTTGCGGTGTTTCGGTGAGTCAAAAGAATGGGTTTTTTCAAAGGTGATGGAGAATTTAAGACAGATATTTATAAAATTCGTTGAAATTGATGCGATTTGCTTGTAGATTTCTACATATTTTATTTTTGCACATATACACTGAGAGAAATATTTTTTCTGAAATTATAATCATATTTTGGACGTCAATATATCTTCTTGTAATATTAACCAAAATTAGCAATAATAGTATGTATGTATATAAAATTATTATTACACACATTACAATAGAGCATTTATTGTTTTCCTGATTATAATTATTTTATTATGCGATTATGGCCACGAATACAGACACTTTTTCTCAGTGCACGTGTGTCACTTTGTAAAACATACTTTCACTATTATGCGCATCAGAATTGCGCTATCATCTACAAAACACGCTATTATTTTTCTCGCATTAATGGTTTAGTAATCGTCGCGAACATAAAGTTTTTAGAGTCTTTGTACGTTCATTCGCGTTATTATTATAGAAAAGTCTCATAAAGACAATTCATTAAAATTTGACAGAAATAAGTTGCGATGATAAATCGGTGACCAATTTGATCTCATGGTTCGCAAGTCGCGAGTGTATATTATCGAAACAACAAGATCTATTTATTTACACCGCCAGTATTTTACCGCGAGTACTTTAAAAGATGAAATTAGTTATACCGCGATAAATGTTTATTTAAACGCGAACTTTTTGTTTTGAGTCTTCAATTAATCGAATTTTCATAATTTCCATTTCAAAGTAAATCAAATTTACTGCAATATTTAGTTTCGATTGTCTACGTTTATATTTACTTCGCGAAATCGTTTTACGCGTGTATCACGATATTTCGATAAAATACAATATATTTACGAAACTACGATAGACTTCGCTAAAGTAGTGCGAGGTAAACCTCCGCGAAGTATTGCGGAGCATATATTTTGCTAGTGTTGGGGAGTAATCTTCCCTAAGCTAGCTTCCTTAAGCCGACTTCTTTGATGGCTATTGCAAAGCCATCGTGCGTGAGATCTTCACGCCACCTTCAATTACGTTGTTCGGACACAGTATTGAGCGATTTCACCGCGATCGGTTTTCAACGTGAATTAGTGATCGGTTTTACGCGAGTCGCTGGACGCGAATATACTTTGAGATTGTAAGTAACGAAATCAACTACTGACCGCGAGTATGTTCACGAAATGGCAGGATCTGGCAGGATATCCTGACTAACATTTATTAAGCGAATTTTTGAAGCAAACCAGTAAATTTCGTCCCGAGATAAATCAAACGTACGTAAACGTCATCGAAATACTCGTGAAATGTCGTTAAAGATATAAATATCAATCGCGTCGCGAGTGCAGTGATATAAAGCGACGACCAATATGGGACCATGGAGGACGATGTGCAGTTTGGAATGCACCGGGGAGTTCGTCGATGGACTTCGCTGGACGTCGCTGGGTTTCATCGTGAACTGGTGAGCGTTGAATCTCAACACTCGCAGAGTGTAATTTCACATAGTGCATGCACAATAGTAAATCGCATCGATTTTCAACGACCAGAGTCTAGGCGGTTCCTATACCATGCCATGTAAAACTCTGAATAGAATTTTGACAATTTTAAAATATCCTGTATATTTTTAGTTATAAGGAATATTATTTTTAATCATATTTTTAATTATAAGAAATATTATGACACCTCATATATTATATGACTACCTATACCTATATACATATCGAATTTACATATATTTAAAAATTAATAGTGCACTTATGTGATATCTAATTGAAATGAAACTCGCGTGTCGTTTAATTTATCGTTCTCTCGGAATGAAAATAAAATTCGCGTGTTTATAATTCATCGTTTTCGAAGCTACGACGGGTAGGTCGGACGTTCCAACGGAACAAATATTATAAAAACGCCCTAGCAATCTCTTCATGCTCAGATAATTACGTACAAAGCAGAAAATACGGTAGAGAGTGAAGTACCTCCTTTTATTTTGACAATCATTATTCGATTTGCCCAAACGCATTTCTTTCATACCGACCAGAAATGTAGTCTTGCCTGAAAAACGGGATTAATTCGTTTCGCACGAAGGAACGTTTTTGTTTGATAGTGCTGCGGTTGCCGTTGATGCTCTGCACACTCCCGGAGGGAGGGGTGAGACGTGTACTCGTTACAGCAACTACACGTCCAGCCGATTAACGTTTACGGTTTAGAACATAGAAGTTGATGCGCGTACGGCAGAATTGACGTCAGCTAAGAAAGAGAAAAGTGCTGTGTGATGCTAAGGAGAGGAAAAGAGAAGAATAATACTGCAATTTAATTCACATCTTCATACGAGAGAATTCTTCGCGTTTTTCTTTGCCGGGAAGAACGGAATAGCGAGGAGAATGAGAGAAGCGCGTTCACGGTAGGAAACATTAGCAAATATTGAAGAGGAATTCGCGTTCTCGTTCACGGAGGAGGAGGTTCACGTAGCCGAGGAGAAAGGCAGCTTTGGGAATCGTTTAAACGATGCGCATATAGGAGAGATATATATATATATATATACGGCACCTCTGGTCCGCATATTTATCAGGCTTGGTGCTTGTAATTACAAGCCGGAGTTCTCGCGAAGAAAACGCGTTACTTGACGACTACCTCTCTTAGCGCGACAGGAACTTCCGCGCTGAAGTTTTAATTGAATATAATTGAATACAATCTGCCAGGGTGGGGGCGGCGTGGTGGGAAAAGCTAAGTTCAAGTCTCAGTTAACAAGCATATTTCATCCGCACGTAAGATGAAGTTACAGAAATTGGCGAGTTCAATTTGCATGTATAGCAAGCCGCAAGGACGAAAATTGGCGCAGCGGCATGCGCGCGCGTTCGCGTCATTTTCGGCCGCGAAACTTACTTGACGTAATTTTCCGGATACGCGTCCTGGCCGCGCGCGCGCGCGTCGCGCGGAAAATATTCGGCTATCATGCGCGTTAGTATACATCTCGCGTAGTTTACGGCGAAATCAAATTCCGCAGGATTCGGGTATTCGAGGATTCGCAAGCTTTTGATGCGTCCGCGACGATCTCGTCAGCCGCGCGAAACACGCGAAATTGGTAAACGAACGTGAAACAGTTCGAGCGTACAGCCTCTCTCCGTGCGCCGGCCGTGTGATATCGGCCGAAAAACTCGTAGGATTTTCGCACGTGTTCCCCGTCCTTTTGCCATAAATCTCTAAATCCTCGAATCACGAAGCGCAATTGGAGGCATATAAACGGGACGCGCTTTTTGACGATGGACGAAGCAACGACACGAAATTATAACAGGTCGTACCGCGAATGGCTCCGCGCGCACGGTCGTGCATTCTGCTCTCTTCCGTGACGTTTAGCGGGTGTTAATAGCGCCGGTGCGTCAGACCGGGTTTTACGAAGCGTGGTTTGTGCGGAGAATCTCGTGGAATCGCCGGTGTACTGTCGAGACCGGAACGCGCGCGCATTGGGACGGCTCCACGCGCAAGAGGAGCCTCGATTAAGTTACTCCTATCGATTAATTCGATCCGTGGATGTAACGCGCAGGTACAGGCCGACTTGCCGTATATCCCCGCGTGCGTATCTCGCGTAAACTCCGCGGCGGACCGATTTGAAATTCGACGTCGCGACTTCTCTCCTAAATCACGCGTCCATTCGAGATTACCTCACGGAATCGAATGTCGAATGAATCCGCGGGCGTTGGTACTCCCGGGACTTATATGCCGCGTATGCACCGGCTTTTCCTTTATCGGCTTTTTTACTCCCCTTCGTGCCGACGATTGCGAATGCACAAAGAGCCCGAATCACCTTTCACCTGATTTATTAAGGTGCACGTTTCATTTCAACGCACTCGCAGCCGCTTTATCCTGCACCTTCCATTCACCGCTCGCTCGTACAATGCCTCGTCGCGTTAATATATTCCTATTCTCGATATTTCTTATATCGCGCTTTCATATATGGACCGTGAAAAGCGCTTTATCCGGGCTATCTTGAGCGACTCTCTGCTCTCGGGGAATTTTAAATGATTTTTAATTAATTTGTGTCGTCGAGACTATCAGAGTCATTACTTTTTAACATTATCATATTTTTCCATGTTGCGCGCGTTATTTTCAGTTGCTCTATTTAAATTCGTTTCTAATTAATGAGAATCTCTTTCCTCTCGCTCTTTTGCCATCCGCGGACAGGTCCTTGAAATTTCTTGCTGCAATATTTCTCCTCTCCGCTCTTTCCTAGCCGTTTAATAACGTTTTCATGACTATTTCAAAATTGTTTCGTTTACGCGTGTGCGTTCTTGTCGAATTTATTCAGCGCGACGTGACCGGCGGAAGTAATCTCTAATTGGAGACTTTTATACTGAAGACCGCGGTGATTGCTAATTGCGCGCACGTTAACTATTATCTGGTATTTAGCCTCTATTGCCGTGCTTAATAGCCGCAGAGCCTCGGACGTGAAATGATGAACGACGGCGAAATATGAAATCATACATCTTCATTCCCCTCCGCGAAAGTCCTCCGGCGGGACGAGACGGGCAGCTTGTGCATTACGTAGTGATAAGAGATTAATGTCCAATGTTACTTTCGTCCCGTAACTCGTTGTTACCTTCAAATCGATGGGAAAACTGCACTTGTCTCTTGGTAGGAACATGTGTGCAAAAAGCGGCACGCTTTTCTACGCAAGTTTTTACCGAGTTGAAATGTTCACGATACAGACCTTACGCTAAACGAGTTATTAAATTACGCGGCAAATTAATTTAGGATCACAGTGGACGTAGAATATAGTCGAAAGTCCTGTTTTGCGCGACGGCGTTCTTAATACAATCATAAAACTTTTTCCCAAGTCTTTTCCTCTTTGACGCCGCGTAGGCGGTAAAGGAATTATTCCACACGGTGATGCTAAGTGGCTCACCCTGTATACACAGGGGCAGTATAGCGATGACTTTCCCGTACTTCATCATACAAACTCGCATCACGGTGAAATATAAGGAGGGCAGGGTCGTCTATTTGCTTACACGTTATATCACTTTAGCGCGGGCCCACGCGGTCGTACTTGTCCGCCGCGAAGCTCGTGTCGGGCGATCCTTAAAAAAACA